TTTTAGATACTTCCCGGTTTTAAATTTCCTCTAGTTAGCTCTCTTATTTTCTGATAATGCCATGTATGTGCACCTATATCTACAACAATCGGCACGTTTATACGCATACAAAAAATGGAAATATATTGGTTTTTGATGATTTGTACTAAGTGTTTCCATTTATGATTCGGAAATATAGTTTTTACTTAATAATAATATCATCTAAAAGTAAGTAACTCCATGAGATCGCTAAAAAAAGATCATAGCATGATGAAAAAGATTCCAAACTTGACGAAAACAAAATTTTACCGTCTAAATGTTTATGTTATTATTAAGAAGAAAGACCAAAGTTTTTTTCATCATTTAAAAAAAATTTGCTTCTCTTTAGAATATTCTGAATTTTGATTAAAAAAAAAAACCTTGTTTCTCTTTGTATCACCGGAACTATACCATTTTTAGCACGTTTTTTTTTTTTTTTTTTTTTTTATGACAGGCATTAATTTAGAAAATCTTGCAAAAATAAAAAAATAACTGTCAGATATTAATGAAACTTTCAGAAACTATTCACAGATGATGGAAATTATTATAAATATGTTTTTCTTTTTAAATTAAAGTCATGGCAAAAATATTTTTTATATTTATTACCCCCCCCGCCGCCCCGATAACTAATTTTATGAAAACTCTAGAAATTCGATCGAATACAGTTTAGTGATTACAATAGTTAATAACACAAGGCTTAGAGGAATGCAAATCATTTTTTTAATTGAACTCCCCTACCTGAACATCAGCTCTGAATTGTAACATACAAAACTCAATAAAACAAAGATATTATTTAATTTCAAAAGCTTTTATTTGTTTTTAGTTGTTTTTATGAATATGGACAATATTTTCTGAAAGCAAAAAAATTTTTCGATAAAAAATGAAATTTTAATACAATTACATTTAAGTTGTTAAAATATTATAAAATTAGTTGAAAGCCGCATTCACTTTCGTAAATGTCCTTATCAGATAGATCATTTTTAGCGCATCGTAAATTGTTTAATTTCGACCAATCAGAAGACACGCAGTAATTAAGAAATGTAATTTTGTGTTCATAAAAAATCGTTAAAATGGCTGTAATTAAAAAGTACGGAAGGCCACAAGCAATAAAACGTCACTTGGCTTGAGTGTAAGCGTTCTCCGCTGAACATCCATTTCATTATTGCAAATTCTTCGTGCAAAACACATGTTGAGCATTTTGAATTGGCGTTTTTACTCATTAAAAAAATTGAACACCATCCTAAGCCATTTTCAGTAGCAACATTACTACATTTTTAAAAGTACCATTTATTTCATTTACATATTTCATTGCAATTTCAATTTTGTGAAGTTGTCTTACAGTTTTCAGTGAGTTTTCTTATTTCAATTTTATGAAATTTAATTTCACTCTCAACAGTTTTATTTTAATGTCTTTATAATATATTTTCCATAAAGCATCGCAAACGTAAAGGTGAAAGCTAAGTACAAAAAAAATAGAGAGCTGAAAGTTTTCCTTAAAAATAACGAAGTAAATAATTTGTTCACTTAAATCTAAATAATTTCACTTCTCTCCTTCCGTAGAATAAGTTATCCTCACGTAATCCGTGAATACGTCATTAAAATCTCTTTCGCGACCTGTCAAGTGACGCGAAAGGTTATGACCTTCTTTGTTTTATTTTCAACCCTACATCTTTTCGGCGCAGAAGCTAAGTTAAGCTTATTTCAAAATATTTTAAATAAGCATTATAATTTCTGATTTTCTTAAAATAAGTTTTGAAAAAATTATAATTGATTTTTAAAAGAATTTCAAACTGAGATTTTCATTTTTTTTATAAAATGGAAAAAAATGGTTGACATGATTGATTATCTGTCAATTTTTCTGACTCAAAAGAACAAGATTTTTAACGAAAATTTTGAACGTGCTTGGAACGATTAAAAAATGTAAAAAAATACCCCAAAAATACTTTTATCTTTTCTCTTAATAAGAACATAAACGTTTAGACGATAAAGTTTTGTTTTCGTCAAGCTTAGCGTCTTTTTCGTCATGCTATGCTCTTTTTCAGCGATCTCATGGAGTTACCTATCTAAAAGGGTGAAATTAATACAGAATTTTGAAATATTTCAAATTTATAAATTATTCTATTTAATTTTTTTTAAGTTAAGACAATTCTTGTAAAAATCCATTATTCATCGAAAGACAATATTGTCTTTAATATATCTTATTCATAAAAGCAATTAAAAGCTTTCCTAATTAAATAATGTCATATTTTATTGCATTTTTTTATTTTACGATTCAGAGCAGATTTTCGGAAAATGGTGTTTCTGTTTGACAAAAACAAACTGATGACTTTTAACTAACATAAATATGAAGAGGGTGGAATTTTAATTTCTCGAAATTTCATAAAATTAAGTTAGGGTAACAGATGTTAAAAAAATTTAACAAGATTTTCTAAAAAAAATTCAAAAATAATTTGCGAATAATTCCTGAAACTTTCAAAGTACTAGAAATTGGCCTGGAAACTCTCCCGATTTAAATCCAATCGAGAATCTGTGGTCAATCTGCAAGGAACGACATCGTGGAATGGAAATACAAAGTACTAACATGTGCACTGGGTCATATTTCATTGGAAAAATAAAAAAAAAGTAAATATTAAAGGGAATTATTTGTTTTGTTTCAATTAATTTGCACAAGGGTGTACTTGATTTTAGTGTCTCCAGTTTGTAGGTCGATTCATGTGCTGTTCCTTGTACTAGCAACCATACATTCCGTCTTCTTACAAATGATGCTTAGTCCTTTCTTCACCCTTTCCTTTATTGCCTTCTGTAGGAGTTCCCATAGCTTCTTTTCTGTGCCTGTTATCAACACTGTATCATCTCCATATCTTATGTTGGTAAGATTGTGGCCAAAAATAATAAATCGTGGTAGAATTTCTAATTCTCTCAGAATCATCACCCAGAGCCTTTTTCTCCTCGGTCCCGCGTGCCTCCAAGACGCAAGCAATCATGGTTCTCCACAACTTCCTATTTTGTGCGGCTCTTGGCAGTGTTTCTTCTTTTCTTCTTTCTGCCATCCATTCGCACAAATACGTCGGGTAAGTGGCTCGCTACCTTCCCCTGTCTGCCTTGCCCTCAATATGCCCTCAATATGCCCTGTGAGGATTATGTGTTCCAAGAACTCCTTCCTCATTAACTTCAAGGAATTTCAACTGTCTTTTCCTGATTCTGAGCAAAAATCTTCTTTCTGTTGCCATTATATTTAAGACTTCCTTGTTGCTTACTCGCTCTATCCATGGAATTCTCACTATCCTTTTGTAGAACCACATTTTTGCTGCGTCTAGTTTACTCCTCACCCGTGGGGAGAATGTCTAGTATTTAATTTAATTTAGTAAATTTAGAAGAGATTTTAAACAACAGGAATGTGGTTCTACAGAAGGATGTTAAGGATACCTGACATGTGAGCAACGTCGAAATTATAGAGAAAATGAAAACAAAAAGGAGAGTTATACTTAACATCAGCAAGAGACAGTTGAGTTTTTTGTGGTACATAATGAGGAAAGGGGGCTTGGAAAATCTGATACTCACAGGGTGGATAGAGGGGAAAGATGATCAAAGGAAAACTGCTTAACATAGCTTGAGTAAATGGACGGTGGAATAGGAGAAATAACAGAAAGAGCTACAAGAGACAGAAAGTTGTGGAGAGCCATGATCGCCTATGTCGTGAGTTTTTTTTTTCTGATTGTTAGCAATAGATTCTTTATATTTCCTCTTCTGATGACTCCCCGCAAATCATCATACTTATTATAAAACCCAGGTTGTGTGTGTGTGTGTGTGTGTGTGTGTGTGTGTGTGTGTGTGTGTGTGTTCGTTTATATATTGGATCGGAATTCCTACATTTGCCAACCAATTTCAACAAAACTTCACAGGACTATGTAAAATTACCTTGCGGTGGTTCTGACAGCACCAAAAATTGGAAAAACAATTGTTTTTGCACGAAATCAATTTGAAAACACGATTAAGAGGCATCGCTTTCGTGGAATGAAAGGGGGACAACTCATATAGATTTATACTTATTATAAAACCCAGGTTGTGTGTGTGTGTGTGCGCGTGTGTTCGCTTATATATGGGATCGGATTTCCTACATTTTTCAACCGATTTCAACAAAACTTCACTTTTTTTGGCAGGTAGTGTTTCTTATTGTCTTGCACACTTTTTCTTTATTTTTACATTCAGAATGCTTTAAAAATTCCATTTACAAGACAATTGTTTATAATAAAATTCTATTCAATCGGTAGACTCATAACGATTGAAAACAATGCTTTTGTTTGAGTTTGGGTTTGACCAATTCGTAAAAAAAAAAAAAAAAAAAAACTAATTAAGACATGCGTGTCCGTCAACTTTAAACAATAATCTTTGTCAATTTTATTTTTCAGTCTTTATGATGGTCGATACTTTATCTATCTTTTACTGTTACATCCCCGGGCAATGCCGGGTTCTACTGCTAGTTAAAAATAAAAAAGAGAGATATATGAGTGATTAAAATGACAAAATCGAAAAAAAATTTCCCATGGAATGTGTTTCGTCATTCGATTTTTACTTCTATTTGCCGTGTCCCTTCAAGAGGTCGGTGATGATGGCTCTCCACAGTTTCTTATCCTTCGTACCTCGAAGAAATATTTCTTTCCTTGTTATAGCTCACAGTCCCCTTTTCTACAAACCCTCGTTTGGTTACTGGTTGTTTCATCTCTCAACTTCAATATGTCCTGCAACTGTCATAGTCTTCCTTCCTCACTATATGTGCCTTAGAAATATCAATTTTCTCTTTCGGATTCTAAGTATCATTTTTTTTTATTTCCAGATTCCCCCTTAAAACTTCCTTGTTGATCACATGCTCTGTTCATGGTATTCTCAGAATTTGCCATTCATTTAATCCTGGTCTTCATATGTGGAAAAGGTTGTTTCAAATGTCTTTTTCTATGAGGCCGTTCAAACGTTGAAACATAGGCTTACGGTCACATCCCGTTGAAGCACCGATACCCGTACGATCACCGAAATTAGGTAACGTCGAGCCTGGTCATTACTTAGATGGGTGACCGCTTTGGATGACCAGGTGCGGTAAGCTTAGATGTGCGGGTGGTGCAATGGATAACGGCTCGGAACTGAAGATTGGAGAGCTGAGTTCTAATTCCGGTCGGGTTCGTTGTATTCATTTACGCGCAAATACCATTGAGAAAGGCATGAACCCAACTCTCCTTCCTCCAACTATGAGTTAATTAGTAAGATTTTTATCACTAAATCATTATTATCTCAAAAAACAAAAACAAAGCAAATCTTAGACTCTAAAAATATTTTCTGGCTTTAAATAACCTGCAAAGGGTTGATAACCCGTAGAAAACGAATCAATCAATGAAATACTGGTTAGTTACACAGGCATGTCTTTTAGATTTAATTACATTCCATGGAATATGAATATATAGAAAGTACGGTGGCCACAAAATCAGGGAGCAGTTTATGCATTGATTGTAATATAGAATTGATCCCCCACTTTATATCCACATTAGAATTTCTTGTTTGTTGATAGGCCATGGAAAACGAATCAATCAATCAATGAAATACTGATTAGCTACACAGGCATGTCTTTTAGATTTATTTACATTCTCTCGAATAGAAATGTATAGAAATTATGGTAACCACAAAGTGAGGGATCAGTTTATATATTGATTGTAATACAGAATTGATCCCCCACTTTATGTTCGCATTATAATTTCTTATTTGTTTATCAAATTGTGATTAGGTATGAAACCACCACTTCTCCCATCAGCTATGGGTTAATTAGTAAGTTTTTTATCACTAAAATCATTATTATTTCCAAAAACGACAAAAAATTCTTATATTCTAAAACTTTTTTCTCTCTTTAAATAACCTGTAAATTGTTGAGAAACTGTAGAAAACAAATTAATCAATGAAATATTGATTAGCTACACAGGCATGTCTTTTAGATTTATTTAGTATATAAATGTAAAGAAATTATGGTGGTCACAAAGTGAGAGATCAGTTTATATATTGATTATAATGTATAATAAATCCTCCACTTTATATCTAATTTATAATTTCTTGCTTGTTTATCAAATTCTGATAAGGTATGATGCGACCTCTTCTCTCCAGCTATGGGTTAATTAGTAAGACTTATATCACTTAAACCATTATTATAAGAAAAAAAAAATTTACAATATAAAAATATTTTCTGGCTTTAAATAACCGGCAAAGGGTTGATAAGTCGTAAAAATTAAATCAACTCCCCCCGCCTAAAAAACATTAAAATGCCTTTATTTTCACCTTAATTATTTTCACCTTTGCGAACTTAAACGAAATCTTTGAATCTTTTTAAAGATTCAAAGATTTCGTTTAAGTTCGCAAAGAATAATATATTTATATCTATTAACAACCACAGAAAATAAATCCGTCATTCTCAGTTAGTGGGTTAATATCTTGAAGCTGTCCAAAATCTGTTGTGAACAAAAGAGATGAATGTCTATTGATTTTATGATAGACTCGCGTTTCGTAGATGCACCAAAACTCCGACGATTCCACTGAGTCTATTAAAAAGAAGACATTGTCCTGTAGAAAATTGAATGCTTTGTGTTAGAAGAGGGTTTTTTTCTCTCTCTCTCCCCTCAAGCCAATTCAAAAATAAATATTATAGATTCTTATCTGGAAAAGTTTAAATGTTTTCGTGTTTTTCTTTCCTCGGATTTTCCCTTTCAATATTTTTGCGATGATCATATCTTTACAAATTCGCATTGATTCTTATAACAGATCGATACAATGTCAATTGTCCTGCTCTTGTTTATACGGATTTTAAATGAGTTATAATCAAGACAGAAAGACTTGATTTATTTGGGGGAAAATATTAAGACTATCCAGAATTTTTACTGCGAGAAAACCGCCTGTATACGAATAGAAAATGCATTAAGGACACAAAAAATAAAAAAAGAACAAGGTTGCGTTTTCACATTGGATTTATTTAACCTATACAGAGAGGAATTTCCAAAAGTGTTGGAAGTTCTACTAAGATTTATTACAGTGATTCTTAACGTGGGCCCTTAGGCCTATAAGTGGGACTAAGAATTTTTTTAAAATTACACTGGAGTCTGTCCAAGGAAAATAGGTGGACTTTGAAATACTTCTTTTTTTTCACTGGCGTAATAAAATTATGAAAACACAAAATGCTTTACTTTATTTTTAAAGGCAAATAATTAAAAAATTATTTCAATAAAATTTCCGACGTTTTATAACATTCTATTTTTAAATTAAGAACAGGGGAGGAGACTGAACCTATGCTGTGAAATTCAACTTGACAAGCTGATAGACACCAGGACTAGTGTAGTCATTAGTCAGAGTTTATACATTTCTACATTTTGCTTTTGTAAATAAAATGTAATTCCTCTTACACGGAATTTCTATTTGTGCTTATTTGGGCCCGAAAGCTTTGAAATAATAAAAACATGATATGTTATTCTGTTTTCGCAATTGAATACATGGTAGATGATTTTCAGCTTTTGTGCATATAGATGTTTGTCTAGTCGTAATTACGAGAGGCGGTGATGTGTGTGTCTTATGTTGTAGCTCTGTTGAAGTTAAATTTTGGAATATAAACTAATTGTCGGATATTATATGGATTAATGTCATGAAAGAATTATTTGGTTGTCTGGTTGTTTGATTTTGTTTGGCGGCATATCAATCTCTGTGGGTTATTTATTTAAATATATTGTACATAATTTTATGCTTTCAAAGTAAAGGTATGTTTTTTTAGATATATATTTTGTCGATCATAATATGTATTGTAATTTAATTTTAATATAAAGACAGCAATTAAGAGGTGGATGCACGTTCTTCAACATCTCATGTTATTCTGTTTTCACAATTGAATACATGGTAGATGATACTCAGCTTTTGTGCATATAGATGTTTTTCTGCTCGTAACTCTTAGAGGCATTGATATGTTTGTTTTATGTTGAAGTTATATTTTGGAATACAGTTTGATTTCTTTAAAATATTGTAGGATATCATGTAAAAGAGTTCTTTGATGTTGATTGGTTGGTTAATTTTCTTTAGTGGCATATCAACAATTAATAACTTATTTTTTATAAAAACATCTTTTCAAATAATGATTGATTATTTGTTTGTTTAACGACATATCAACTCCTTATGGATCATTTAAAGCCGAAATTTAATTTTCTTGTGGGCTCTGAATTAATAAAAATGTTAATCTGCTTTCACAATCGAATACATGGTAGATGATACTCAGCTTTTTTGCATATACATATTTGCATGTACATAATTACTAGAAGCGATATGTGTGTTTTATGTTGTAGTTTTGTTTGAAGTTATATTTCGGAATACAGTTTGATTTCTTGAAGAAATATAGTATTTGTAGTATATTGCATGGACTAATGCCATGAAAGAGTTCTTCCATGTTGGATGGTTTTGTCTAGCCACATATCAATCTCTAAGTGTTATTTAATGTCAAAATCTAAATATTTTGAATGCAATTGTATGCCTTCTATAAAATGTATTGTTGGCCATTTTGCTTTGTACATTATTCTGCTTTCATACACTGTAGATGATACTCAGCTTTTGTGAATATACATGTTTGTATATCCAAAATTACTAGACGCAGTGATATGTGTGTTTTATGTTCTAGTTTTGTTATTCTGCTTTCACAATTGAATACATGGTAGATGATACTCAGCTTTTTGTGAATATACATATTTGTATATCCATAATTACTAGAGTTTTGATGTGTGTTTTATGTTTCTAGTTTTGGGCTTCACAATTGAATACATGGTAGATGATACTCAGCTTTTGTGCATATACATATTTGTATATGATAATTACTGTGATTTTATGTTTTATGTTTTGTTATTCTGCTTTCACAATTGAATACATGGTAGATGATACTCAGCTTTTGTGCATATACATATTTGTATATCCATAATTACTAGAGGCAGTGATATGTGTGTTTTATGTTCTAGTTTTGTTATTCTGCTTTCACAATTGAATACATGGTAGATGATACTCAGCTTTTGTGCATATACATATTTGTATATCCATAATTACTAGAGGCAGTGATATGTGTGTTTTATGTTCTAGTTTTGTTATTCTGCTTTCACAATTGAATACATGGTAGATGATACTCAGCTTTTGTGCATATACATATTTGTATATCCATAATTACTAGAGGCAGTGATATGTGTTTTGTGTTTTTTATGTTCTAGTTTACATTATGAAGCTTTATATTTTGGAATACAGATATTTGATTTCTAGTTTTTTAAGATATTTTATTTCTTTAAGAAATTCTAGGATATTATTTGAATTAAAATCATGAAAGAGTTCTTTAGTTGTTTAATTGGTTGATATTGTTTGGCAGCATATCAAACTCCATGGATTGTTCAATGCCGATATCTAAATATTTTGTACGTAATTTTATGCTTTCAGAGTAAAGGTATGTTTTCTTTTTTCTTTTTTGAGATATATATTTTGCAGATCATGAAATCTATAGTTGGTGCAATAAATGTAACAAATATTATAGGACAATACATAGATACGAAATTATGTTATGCAAGGCATGTATTTGAAGGATTCAAAGATTTTTATTTTTTATTGCAAGAAGAAATAAATAGATTTAAAAAAAAAATAAATTGCAGAAAAATAAATAATAATAATTGGTTTGGTGGGGCTGAGTTTGAATGGGGACGGTTCTTACAGGTTCACTGAAGGGATCTCTGTCAACCGATGTCTTAAGGAAATGCAAAAAAAGGGTCTTACAAGCACAGATCACCTATTTTTCAGGGGAAATGGTTGTTTGATAGGGATTACCTTGAAAACGAAATCTCAAAAATGTAGCACTTAAGAGCATCAACAAATCCGGTTAGGGTTTGAGCCCTCGAATTCTCTGGAAAAGGCTCAGACTCGTTGAAGGGATTCCCTGGTAGCCCATGCCTTAAAGAAATGAAAAAAAATGAACTCACGAGGACAACTCACATTTGTGCTTATGTGTGCCTGAAAGGAAAATAATTCAGAAATTATTTCTATAAAATGTTCGATGTTTTCTTCTTAT